AAATCTGCTTTATTTTTTTGTATGCTAATAGGAACAATTATATCTTCATCCTTAAGTGACTATCAAGGAGTCAACAAGGATCTCAGTGTATACATGTTTTACTTTCTTTTTCTTCATGGATTTACTGTATTGTCAATAAAGCTGTTAAAAAATAGAATAAGATTGGGGAAAAAAAGATGAGGAATGGGATGAGTTCTAAGCAGAACAACTCCTACATGGAAATGTCTTATAGAACACGGAGCATAACAAATTAAAGATGTCCAGTATAGCAGAAGAGCAACTGACATGAAATGGAGGAAAGGGGACACTAGTCAGGTCAAGCCATGCAAGACCTTGTAAGTCAAAGAGTTTTGAATTTATTTTAGTAATCATAGCAAACATAAAATAAAAAATAGCAAAAATAAAAAGAGCAAATAATAGTAAATTTCCATGGTACTTACTATATAAACATTTTCATCCTAACACAACTGTACTATCTACTATGCATACCAGAATTTTATAAATAGAGAAACTGAGGCTCATAAGATAAAGTAACTCACCCAAAGTCAGAGGTAAGCTAGAGTCAAGCTCACCTCCTCAGAATCCTTCCACTTAACCAGTATGTTTCTGTGCTCCTGCATGGCACTGTTCTTGTGACTATTAAGAGTAAACAACATTCAGGGGTGCCTGGGTAGCTCAGTGGGTTAAGCCTCTGCCTTCGGCTCAGGTCATGATCCCAGAGTCCTGGGATTGAGCCCCACATCAGGCTCTCTACTCAGCAGGGAGCCTGTTTCCTCCTCTCTCTCTCTGCCTGCCTCTCTGCCTACTTGTGATCTCTGTCAAATAAATAAATAAAATCTTAAAAAAAAAAAGAGTAAACATTCATTTAAGGATTTTAAGCAGAGTTTGGCATGATCAGTTTTGTCTTTTTAAGAGCTTATTCTCATTACAGAGTGAATATATAACGGAGGAGGCAACAACTTCCTGTAAGTCAACTATTGTATTCCCAGGATAGTGACTTACATTATGGTAATGGTGGTGGACACAGAGAGAAAAAAAAAAGAAAGAAGAAAGTATTGATAGATGTTTGAAAATAATACTGACAGGTAAAGTGAACATAATGATCCTAATTTAAGTGTAATGCTTGGCACATTCTTTCTGGTTGATTAGATAATTATAAAGACTGGCAAACCTTCCATTTACATCATTTACAATTTCATTTACAACATTTACAATTTCACTCTTTCATTCAGTGATATTTGCATTCATTCACGAAGGTAGCAATCAAATCTGAGTATCCTGAACTCTTTTGTAACATTCTTTCTTATCATGCATATGTGACATTTTCATAAAGTTCCTCATTGGAAATTCAGCTGCCACTTAAGTGCTGAGATCAAAAGGTATCAAAATATTAGGAAAAAAAACACACGGTATGTTTTATTAGTCGGAACACATTTTTAGCCACAGCAAATGGCTTGTGACCCTCCTCAGCAGGTATAAGGAACATGTTCAACAAGAACTCAGGACGGACAGGGTTCTCTGGCAAGGGAAGACAGTCAGGAAGAAGTATGACTGTTGTTTCCAAATGCACTATTTTGTTCATATTTTTACTCTGAAATTAAGACAAACATATTAAACAGACCCAGTGGGAGCAATATAGTACTACAGTTCATTGAGATGTGCTTTCTGCTAAGAGACAAATGGATTTGATTACAATTCTTTATAACCAAATGTTACCACTTAAAATGGTGCTGAGTACTTTTGTAGAAAGGCTTTTCTGTGGATAACTCCTCTGATGATTGGAGAACGAAAGTCTCAAATCTTTTGCAGTATTCTTAACGATATAAATATTGCTGGTAAATCTCAGAACACATCATCTGCTACAAGGAAGGTAACTGAATCATTTTTCTACTTAGAGTCCTGACGTCTCCAGGGAGCAGAGACTTCATCTAAGACACCTGAGGGTCATGTCAACTCCCTTTTCCCTGAGACTGTATTGGGGTGCTGGATTACTTACATGGAGTCAAGGCTGTGTGGGTGCAGAGGCTGATGCAGCCCTGGGGACCCTTCCCGGCACTGTTAGGCTCCAACCTGACATCTGCTGACACTTCCCTCTACCCAGGTCACTGTCATCTCTGGTACAGACATCCTCTTTCATGAGCATGGAAAGTATGCCTAAATACAGTCCACCATGACATAGTTTATAGCTCTAAAGCCCAGTGAAAAGGGGGATAGAAATTGACAATGTACTACAAACCATTCCACTCAGAGATGTGCCCTGCTGGTCCCACGCCGGGAAGAATATGCAAGCACAGGGATGGCTAAGTCCAAGGCCGTAGGCAGGAGTGATCCTTTGTATTTACAGTGTTTGTAAAATTCAGGTAAATTTAATTAAGAGGTTAAAACAGTTTAGTAGGGAGCAGTTCAGAGTCAAACGAGGAAAAATAATGGAGGAAATTACAGGAAGGATGAATATTTATGTGGGAGCCTCGATTATATTTGCATTTGAGAGTTGCCTGTGGTAGCTTGAGGAAAAGGGGCAGGGATGTTTTCTGGCCATTTGCGTTTATTCCCAAATTTAGGTTTCTGTAGCATAAGCATAAAAGTCAGCCACATGGACAGCCAGGTGCTCATGCTTCCCCAGCTTCCTTTCTCTGCATGCATTGCCTCACAACTTTGTATTGCAGTATGGAAATAGTTAAAAGAAGAAGAAGAAAATGACAGAAGCCTAAACCATGTCTATTCAATAGTGAGAATAAACGTGTCTGCAATGCAAATCTTCCCAGGAACAGCATTTTGAGTGTATAGTTCTGGGATTTTGCTGAGCTGCAAAAGTGCTCCTTTCCCTTGGTCTTCAAAATTGTTCAACATTCACATTTTATTAGCAAGGAAGCGTGAACAAAACAGGTTCCCATACACAAAAGCTGTTTTTGCCTCATTATACTGGATGACAAGTGAGAGCTTACAGCTTCACGTCAGATGAGTGGAAAAACAATTATCTGTAGAAAGTATGTGCAAACATTTTTCCTGCAAAGCTAAAGATTCAAGGCAACGTGTCTGGAATGTGTTTCTCCCTTTAGGCTCCCTCCCTTCCATGAAACATCTGTCTCAATTTCCGCTCTTCCTGGAGCCTCCTTTTGGTCTCTGCAGGTCTATTCCTTCTAAATCTGCTTCATTCTGATCCTGCAGATGGAAACCGTATGTCTCCTTGTTTAAGGAAGTGTGCCCAATCTTCTCAAGTGGAGATTCCTGGCCAAGTTTTACAAAATCTTCGTGTATGGCTTCCTAATGCACCAAAGATAGTATGAGTTGTTTTTGTTTGATTTCATGCTTTAAGTACATTTAAAGTGAACATGAACACATTCGTGACTCTTATCAGTAAAATCTCTAAAATTAAATGTAGAGCTGTGAAATAGATATATTCTGCACAAGCAATTTTAAAATTATATTTAAGAAGTACTTGTTGATCACCTATCATGCTACAGGTTTGAGTTACAAAGATAAAACATGTAACTTAGAGTGTACCAACTAGTGGGCTTGGATAGGCTGAAAACTGATGGGGTCATTTCAATACGGTGTAGGAAAGGCAGAGGTGGGGAGACCCTACAGAAACACAGAAAAAGACACAATTCAAAAGTGTGAACTGACAAAAGAGTTTAGTGTTCCTTCAAAGGTATGATTTTCATTTGTGAGGCAATGTATTCAAATTTATGAAAAAAATACTAAATAATAAATGTATCTTTAAAATATTGTGATTATCTAAAATATCTATCTAAAATACTCGGAAAATATCTGCCCTAGTTATGTACTGATTTTATGCATAAAAGTAATACTGTGCATGTCATTTTGACATTAAAGTTAGAAGGTAATTTGTGTGTGTGTGTGTGTGTGTGTGTGTGTGTGTGTGTTTGCTTGTTTAATAAATGCAAATAAAGAAGGGTAGAAAGAATCAAGCAGCCCTATCAGGGTTGAAAAAGGAGAATCTGGGATTTCTGGGGCTTCCATGAAGAAAGTATGTGCCCAACAGTGGGCCTGCCTGTTGCCAACAAACTATCTTGAATGGATTTCCTGCCTAAAGTGACAAAGTTGTCAGGAAGGTAGACATTTACTAAGTAATACAGAGGAACAGACATTGAGGCATGGGAAGGGATTTGAGAGAAAGGAATTATTCTAAATGCAAGCGGTGCTGCTAAGAGCAGTTACTCATCACCCAAAATATGTAAGAAGAGAAAACCAAGTATTATCTAAGAAAAATACTTGAGCATCTTTTTTTCCATTTTAGTAAGTTCCCGCTATTGTCAAAGCTCTTGAAAAGGTCAATTTAACAAACCCAAATATTGTCGGTAATACCTGTTACTCACATCATAATCAAATCTATAGTTTTCATAACTCCATATATATTTTTCTTTTGGTAGAAATGATACTTTACAGTAAAACAATTGGAGAAGTGTAAACTGTAAAACAAACAGACAAACAAACAAGCCCAGAATATTTGAATCTAGGAAAACAAGGCTTAAAAGGACTGGAGCATACACCTTAATTTCTTAATGGTTATTATCTTCAAAGGGAATGGAATCTGGGCTTCAGGGTGAAGGGGACTTTGGGATTTTATTCTGCACACTTCTGGATTAATTTGAAACTTCCCCAGCAATAATGCATTTTTATAATTCTATGTATTTAGAAAACAATAAATGAGGCTTTTAAAAAAATGAATAAACATGTGAGAACGTTTGAAAGAGCAGGATGACCAAAAAAAAAAAAAAAAAAAAACCACCAAAAACCAAAAACAAAAAAACCATGGGCATTGGAAATTATTACTAAGATTTGAAAAGCAAAATTAATTAAAACCAACAGTAACTAGAACCACATGTGCTCAGCTAGGAGAGACGGCCCTGCAGTGTCGAATTTCAGAACACCAGCGACCTCTTGTGGCAAAAGTGGATATGTGTAAAATTTGTGTCGTGCCACACAGCGTGGGTGATTAAGAAGGTTGCCTGATGAAATTCTGTTTCTTTTTGAAGATTGAAACAGCCACAGTGATGCCTTCTGGGAACAGAGAGCTCCTCACCCCACCCCCACCGCCGGAGGAGGCTGAAGAGGAAGAGGAGGAGTCCACCCCCAGACTGATCGATGGCTCCTCTCCACAGGAGCCTGAATTCACCGGGGTCCTGGGCCCACACACCAATGAAGGTCAGGTCCATCAAGGCTGATCTGAATTAAGTCCACTTGGTCATACCTCAAAGCTGCCAACTCCAATTCTACAGACAACCCACGTGACCCACAGAGAAAGTTTTGCCATAGGCTGGGTTTGAAGCAGGAGATACACATATATTTTATATTCAAATATTAAACAGTTTTAAGAATTCAGCTTTGGCATGATGGAAATTATCAAATAACCAAAGATTTGGGACAAAACTATTTATTTAGCATCATTACTCTAAACCGTTGTGGTAGAACGCATTTCTAGAGCAAAGAATCCACTACATGTTAGAGCAAGATGAGAATCCAGGTCTGACAGAGCAGGCCACAGCAGTTTAGGGGGATAAGGTGGTGACGGCTGATGGTAATGATGGCAATAGTAATAATATTTACACTGACTGGGCGCAGGCGATCTGTGGGTCACAATGCTTGCCTCACATTCTCTCATTTGACTACTACAACCTCTGTGTAAAGGTCGTAGGTCTTCCTTATTGAGGAAACGAGCTCAAAAAAATGGAACTTGTCAAGAGATCTCATAGCTGTTGATTGCACACCGTGGATTTCTTTTATTTTTTTTAAATTTTATTTATTTATTTGATAGACAGAGATCACAAATAGGCAGAGAGGCAGGCAGAGAGAGAGGAAGGGAAGCAGGCTCCCTGCTGAGCAGGGAGCCCAATGCGGGGCTTGATCCCAGGATCCTGGGAACATGACCTGAGCTGCAGGTAGAGGCTTTAACCCACTGAGCCACCAAGGCGCCCCCACACCCTGGATTTCAAGGAGCCTATTCTTTTTTTTTTTTTAAGATTTTTATTTATTTATTTATTTGACAGACAGAGATCACAAGTAGGCAGAGAGGCAGGCAGAGAGGCAGGCGGAGAGAGAGGGGGAAGCAGACTCCTTGCTGAGAAGCAAGCCCGATGTGGGGCTTGATCCCAGGACCCTAAAGGCTGAAGGCAGAGGCTTTAACCCACTGAGCCACCCAGATGCCCCTCAAGCGAGCCTGTTCTGATTCTTGTCTGTGTACTTACTGGAACATGGGCTTCTTCTCATTCAGTCCTTGGGAGAAACGGAGTGGAAAGCATTCTGTAACACTGGACTGTATCTTGTACAGCCTGAAGGTGATCTAAACCAGAGCCTTTTAGTTAATGAGGAAGAGTTCCTGTTGCTAAATACAATTCTATGATCTGTCTATATTTCTTGTTAGAATGTGTCCATGTCATCCTTGGGGGCACTCAGACGGACTCACACCAGAAGGCTTTCCCACATGGAGAATGGCAGAGCGAGGGGGTGTAGAAAAATGAGTAGAATTCTCATTTCAAAAGTTTAAGAATATAGAGTTGGAGTGTCTCTAAGTTCTGGAGCTATAATACTTATCTTAAAACGACTACTGTTATCATGGATATTTTTGTCTAGTACAGGGACACAGACATGCAAACAAATGTAGAAGCAATAATGTGTTCCAAGTCATACAACAAAACTCTGTACAGAGCATACTGAGAGAACAGGAGGGGGAAGGCATTCAAATGCCAGCTTTGGGACTTCCTGGATATGCAGTCTGGATCAAGCCATTCAATACTTTTTGTCTTAGTTTCCTCATTTAAAATATGGGATGATAAATAATAGATCTTACTTCATAGAATTGTTGTAAGAATTAAATGAATGAATCTCGTGCCTGACCCATCGTGAACATAATAAATGTTAGTTATTCTCATAACTCTGTTATTGATAGAAGAGTTTATTTTTCTACTCTCAACAAATGTTTCAGTGTACAATACAGTTTTGTTAACTCTAGGCATTATGTTGTACAGCAGATCTCCAGAACCTAATCATTTTGCATAACTGAAACTTTACAGCTGTTGACCAACAACACCTCATCAGTCCCCACTCAGCCCCTAGTAACCCCCCATCTACTCTCGGCATCTACCAGTCTTAAACTGTTCACCAATAAGTAATGTAAAAAGTTGGCTTTTGTAAAATGCTGTGGATATGCCAACCACTAAAGTGTTTTATGCATATGAACTCCTTGAAGAGTCAGAATGATACTACATATTAGGTATTGTTGTTTCCACTTTACAATAGAAAACTAAAACCCCAACATAGTGTAAAAGTTGTCGAAGATCACTGAGGTGGCACATAGTGGTGTTGAAATGTGAAGAGATATCACTAAACTCTAAACCAGTATCTCTGAAGAATACATCATATTCTTTCCACATAGTTACTATTCTAGGGAGTAGTAGAACACTCTCCAAATAAATCCAAGGAGATGCACATACGATAGAAGGATTACCCAGAAGAAAGTTTCCAATAGGGAAAGTAAATATATCTAGAACATGATTTACTTTTAAGTAATTTCAGATCCTTCAAAAGTTGACTATATGGCATCATTACCTATATACTCAGGTCTTTCAGCCAAGCCAAGCACAACAGAAAAACATAATGCCTAATCTTTTCAAAAGCTTTTGTCAAAATTATGGCTCAAGAATGTCAGCTTTGAAACTATATAAAACATCTATGACTTTGGGGACGGGGGGAGTTATCTCCGAAGTAGAGTGAGGGTGAGTAATGAAGGTAAAACTTTAGTTAACATTTTCATTTCCACAGGCAAAGCATCACCAGAAATTCTAAACTTTAAAATTAAATTTAAATCTTTTTTTTAAGATTTTATTTATTTATTTGACAGATAGAGATCATAAGTAGGCAGAGAGGTAGGCAGAGAGAGAGAGAGAGAGAGAGGAGGAAGCAGGCTCCCTGATGAGCAGAGAGCCCGATGCGGGGCTCGATCCAAGGACCCTGAGATCATGACCCGAGCCGAAGGCAGAGGCTTTAACCCACTGAGCCACCCAGGTGCCCCAAATTTAAATCTTTTTAATAAAGATATTCTTTATTCACTCGAGAGAGTGAGTGAGCACTAAGAGATATCGAGAGAGCATGAGTAGGGGGAGAGGGATAAGCAGACTCCCCACTGAGCAGGGAGCCAGATGTGGGGCTATCAATCCCAGGACCCTGAGATCAGGACCTGAGCCAAAGGCAGATGCTTAACCTACTGAGCCACCCAGGCGCCCTTAAATTTAAATCTTATTTACTCATCAAAGTTAAATAGCTTGGAAAGAAATATTAAATCATTAGTAATCAAAATATCATTTTTATGAATAATACAGATTCTAAAAACAATATTCTGAAGCCATATAAAGTAGACTTGGGTTATGAGTGGAAGAAGAGAGAATTAAATTATAACTGGTGTAAATATATACACATATATATGTATATAGCATATACATATATATAGTATGAATTATCCTAAGCAATTATTGCTAAAGCAAAGCCATGAATACATAGAAGACTCAAATGCCTTACTTTTTAAAATTTCATAAGTGGCAAATATTAATTTATAATAATTTGAAAAATCGCCAAGTGTTAAATACTTTATAGCCTCCCCTTAAATTGTCTTTCTCAGATTTCCAGTCTTAAAACAGTTTTCATTCCTGAAGCTATTATTGTAATTAACTTTCCTACTTAATGACAGCAAAAAGACCTTTGTAAGCACATCACTGGTTCTTGATCACAAACCACAAGTGGATCCTGCTTCACTCAATTTACACACTGCAAATATATCTGCTTATCCTATCACCATCCCCCTCTCTGCCTTCACAAACATCTCGATAGCATTGTCTATATTTGCTGTAACTATCTCTGCACCCTCCTCAACTGGCAGTTAATCTGGCTTCCAGCCCCCTCACTCCACAGCTCTTATGGAAGTTGCCTATAACCACCCCAATGACTAATCCAAGAGATATTTTCAGTCCTTAACTCACCTGACATCTCAGCAGGCGTAGAAGGTTTTCTATTCCCTTTTCCTTCTGCCTCTCCATCTGGCCTCTGATACATCTTCCTATTCTCTTTTCTTCCTTTCCTTCTGGTCATTGCTTTTCTATCTTCCTTAGAAGCTTACTGTCCTCTGCAGGACCTCTAAACAGAGAGTGAAGGAGAGGTATATGTGTGTGCATGTGAGCGCGGTAGAGACTGACCGAGATGTTGAGATATAACCCAGCCTTACAAATATCTTTTGATCTGTTGCCTTTTCGCTATGTCATCATGACCGCAGCCAAGCAACCGTCATCTTTGATCCAGGTAACAATTCATCTCCACTCTGCCCACTGGCCCTCCCTCAGTCCTCTACCACACCTTCAAGCAGAGTGATTTCCTAATATGCAAATCTGATCACAAAATACCCTGCCCATCCTTAGGATAAGACGCGACATCTGTAATAATAGCCGATAAGGCCTCTGGATGGTATGTCCCATACATTTCAATGTTCTCTGTGCTATAGGTGCATGGACCATCTTTTAGTCCTTCCAAAGGGAAGGGCCTTGGCCCATGCTGTTTCCTCTACCTGTGCACTCTTCACTCCCAATGGGAAGTACACGGTCAGCTGCTGTTCCTGCAGATCCCAACTCAGTTATCACCGCCTCAGAGAACCATGACTGTCAAACTGAGTCATATTCCCCTATTTTATGCTCATTATTTCATGACATTTTGCAGATTTATTATTTTATTGTGTGATTCACATTTATCTTTCATAGAAGGTCGTAAAATAGATTTGTGTCTCCCTAAGAAAGGATTCAATACTTACATATTGAGTGAATTCATATAAAGGATTATTACCCTTTTTCTTGAAGTAGATTGTTTCAGTGGGGTGTTTAAATATTGAACCAAAGACCTAATAAAAATATTATGTGCGATGTGTTAACTTTACAAAAACCAGTCTTAATATTTATATCTGAAGAGAGAATTTATAATGAGTATAAAAGCAACAACCACACTATAGCCACTGGGTCATTTAGAATAAAATTTAAAACAGTACAAAGAATGTACTAGTTATTATGGCTGCTTTAATTGGTACATTTGATTTTAATCTCCATTTATAGAAAACTATATAAGAAAATATGAAATATACCAGGATGGTCTGTATGAGACTGTAAACTTATTTAACAAACATCTAATCACATTATCTCTTAGCAGCTGTTTTTGTTACTTACATGTAATTGTTTGCCTCTACCTTTTAGACTTTCCAACCTGCCTTCTGTGTACGTGTATAAGTACCACTGTATACTGTGATGACCGTGAACTTGATGCTATCCCTCCGCTGCCCAGGAACACTGCTTATTTCTATTCCCGCTTCAACAGAATTAAAAAGATCAACAAAAATGATTTTGCAAGCCTAAGTATGGATGACAGCACTAATTTCCTTGTCTTCTTTACAGACTTTTCCTAAAATTATTGCACTACAAAATGAAACTTGAATATGAAAATATGGCTCGTAAATCAACTATTTTTTCCTTATTTAAATATTTGAAGGTTTGCTTTAATTATGTGGGGAAAAAGTGAGGAAGAGTGAAAGGTCATTAAGAAACTATATATTTTCAAATAAAATTTTCAAGAAATAGAATCATAAATATGTATATTTTATAGACTAGATCTCATTATCATGTCATGACATTGAGTAAAATGTTGTGGTCATATAATCACTAGGATTTAGGTTGTTTGAATAACTTCCATTAAGGCACAACTGCTTTATGATCGATGCCTACAAGCCTACATTCTGACTTTATAATTGTTGCCAACTTCGAAGAATTTTGGAACTTGTCTTTATAAACTGTTTCAATCATTTGAAAATCTCTTTTGAATGCCTTTGCATTTTAATGCTAATGTATCTATAACGAGGAAATATAGCAATCTGTTATCACTGAAGAAAACCTTTTAAATAGTAAAATCCAGACAAAGCTTATGAAGACTTCAGGGAAAAGACCAGATAAATATAATGTGTCAATACTGTTGTTAAAATTACGCTTTCTTACAAGTACATAAATATGTATAGTATTGGGAGGAAACAATTACATTTTTATATAAAGTAGTTAGAAACAATTATTTCATTAGTTGTCTATTGCTAGTTCACTTCATATTTCTATTTGCTTTTATGTGGGAAAATTTATCGTCGTACTTTTATGTGAACAAAACATATTTAAGAGTATTTAACCACCTCCCTCATTTTTCCTTCTAGATGATTTAAGGAGGATCGATTTGACATCGAATCTAATATCTGAAATTGATGAGGATGCCTTCAGAAAGCTACCTCGCCTCCGGGAGCTTGTCCTGCGTGACAATAAAATAAGGCAGCTCCCCGAACTGCCAAACACTTTGACATTTATCGATATCAGCAGCAATAGGCTGGGAAGGAAAGGAATAAAGCAAGAAGCATTTAAAGTGAGTTTTAAGTCTGGATATGGAAGTTTCTCATCCTTCTAGCCCATTTGCCATCAATGACTAGCATTTGTATTGCCATAAGCAGATTCAATTTGATGAGATTTTTATCTCCTAAAATAAACTACACAATACTATTCACCAAGCTTTTGGGAAATACTGCGTTTTGCTAAGTTCTGAGGCTGGTGGAACAAGAGGGACGGAGAGCAGAGCTTGCATGAGAAGTCTGGAGCGTCTGGAAACGGTGTCAGCCAGACCATTTGTACTTTCTAAGAACTCCACTCAAGGCCAATATTTTATGTGGCTTAAAGGACGACTACCTGTGCAGGGTGTGGGTGATGCCTTGAGGTAGAAGTCCATTACATGACCTTGCAAAAAGGATGGATTTGGTTAATCTTAGGAATTTTGTTTTCTAAGTGAAGGAAGCACGTTTGGGGCCAGAGGGTCTTGCTTAGAGTAGTAACAGCATAGAGCATGAGAACACTCATCAGCCAGCTCTCTTACCCACTCTTACTGTATTCAAGCTGCTCTTCTAAACTCCGGTAAACAAATTTAAAATCCTGTTTGAAGGGACACAGGGAGAGTGCAGGGGGCGGGGTGGACCCATTATTGCCAAGCAAGGACCGAAGTCCTGTTTCTCCACCAGCTCTCCTGTAACCCTGGTTGGGGAGGGAGCTAGGACACCTCACTGTAGCCGGCCAAGGGTCAAAGTTCAGTCTCCCCATTCAGCTTTTGTTGGCATGGGCATGGTTTGTTCTGTGGTGTTTGTCTAGAGTAGAACTATTATTGTCTAAATTTTGTTTGTTTGTTTGTTTGTTTTTTCTTGCTAGGCTGTCCTTTTCCTAGTACTTGTACTAGAGAGAACAGGATTTTGTTGGAGAGAAGCTCTCTTTTCTCTGTCCCTGTAACACAAAGGCCATTCTTCCTTTGCCTCACCCAGATCCTCAAAACCCCTCTGCAGAATGTCTCCCATGGGAAGACACTGCCTTGCTTAAACAGAGAAAGTGAGAGTGGGCAAAGCAAGGGTCTTTGTAGAGATTGAGAAGCTCTTTACATTTTCATCAAGAAATATTCGCTTACCATTAATTTTTCCAAAACTCATTTGACTTATGTCTAGTAACCTGGGGAACTGATCTGCTTCATCTTTGCAAAACAAGACCTTGACAGGCGTGTGTTATTTTACAAATAGTTGCATGAGCAAGGAATGGAAAACACAACTGCAGTGCCGCTAATTTCCACTAAGTCCCTACATTTGGAATGTTTACAGGATATGTCTGATCTCCATCACCTCTACCTCACTGATAACAACTTGGACCACATCCCTGGGCCACTCCCGGAAAACCTACGAGCCCTTCACCTCCAGGTAGGTTTCCACCAGTAATGTATGCCCAACAGCTCCATGGAAAACAAAAGTAAAGATGAGGAAGTCAGGACACAGAAAGTCTTTATAATGGTCTGTTGACACACTGTCACCATTTTTCTTCTTTTTCTCCTCTCTCTCAATTGGAGCGCAAGGTCTTTGTATATTCATGCCTCTGTCTATACTGATTTTTTGATAATGACTTTAGTCTTTAAAGATTTTTAGTCTTTGTCAGATCATAATGCATCTTTCTGGTACCCAAAATTACTTTCAGAAAAAAAAAATACAAACAAAACTGAAAGTTTCATTTCTTGAAGAAATGTGTAAGATTTGGAAGTGGAAGAGAAAATGGGAGAAAGAGAAATCTAATTTATTTTCTAGCTTTCAGGAGAGAAAAAAATGTCAACTTTAGCTTTTAATTTTAAGTTTGTATTGTATTGAATTAAACTCATGTATTCATGTATTGAATTAAACTCAATCCTAGGGCATTCCTATCTGCTGAGAGATGACAGATTTCCATCTCTCTGGGTTAAGAAAATGTGTTTCCAATGTGTTTTTGTAATTCTGAATTAAATTTTATTACTGTTGTCTGTGATAATATTGACCCTACAAAGTAACCGTGTCTCTGATGTTATATTCAAACACAATGGGCTTGTGTATATAATACAACATTTAACAAGAAGTAATTGGCTTCATATTCCCTATTTTAAGGCTTAAAAAGTCATTAAGTATACCTTTAAAGCATCTCTCTTCTCATGACCACTTAATCAATATCCAGTATTAGCTGTTTTTAACTTATGTTGTCTTCAATATTTATTTTTAATGTTTATATAAAAATCTCTAATTTTGATTCATTTCAAAAAGTTTGTCAAAATACAGTATAGTAATTAAGAATGAATGCTCTGGCAAAAGCAGATTCCTTAGACTGAAATTCTACTTCTAATCCTCTCTAAAGATTGGACAAAATATCTGAGCCTCCCTGCACCACAGTTTTAGTTTATAAAGTGAATGGTACAGTTATAGGAACATGCTAAGGACTTCTATGTAGGCAGAGTTATTATTAATGGTGCATACCTATTACCTATCAAAAGGAGTAGTACAGCACATAGGCACTAAACCTTTTATTCCTTATAGACACTTTGTAATGAGAAGACGGTTAAGCCATCAGAAAGATACAATGATTATAAACATATATTTACCTAACAATATATAATTATACACTCATTAACCATTATTGCATTATTATATTAATGATTATAAACAATATGCCTCAAAATGTGTGAAGCATAAACTGTCAGAATTGAAAGGAGAGATAAACAATTTAACAATAAGTTGGGGCTTCCAATACTCCACTTTCAATAATGGATAGAACAACCAGTCGTTAGATCAACTAGGAAATAGTTCAAGAACACCTTAAAAACACAAAAAAATCAACTAGACTTAACAGTCATCTATAGAACATTCCGCCCAATAATAACAAAACATATATGGTTCTCAAGTGTTCAGTGAACATTTCCCAGGAAAGGTCATATACTAGGCCACAAAACTAGCCACCACAAATTGAAAAGAACTGAAATCAGGCAAAGTACTTTTCTGATTACAATGAAACTAAAATAGAAATTAACCACAAAGAAAATTTGGAAAAGTCATAAATATGAAGATATTAAACAACACTTTCCCTAATAAGCAATGAGTCAAAAAAAGAAATCTAATAAATGATTTAGGCAATGTCATAGGTAATAAAATCAATATACAAATATTGTGTATATATACACTACAAATGAACAATCTGAAAATGAAATTAAGAAAACAATTCTATTCATATTAATCACAAAATAATAAATCACCCAGGAATAATTTTAACAGAAAAAGTACAAGACTTGTAGACTGAATGCTATGATATTGTTGAAAGCTTCCTGCACAGCAAAGGAAACAATCAACAGAGAGAAGAGATAACCTGTAAGTGGGAGATATACAAACCATACATTTGGTAAGGGGTTAATAGCAGAAATACATACAGAACTCAAATAACTCAACGAAAAAATCGATTAAAATATTGGCGAAGGACCTAGATAGACATTTCTTAAAAGCATAGAAGTAGCCAACCAGTATATGAAAAGATGTTCAATGTCACTAATCATAAGAGAAATGCAAATCAAAACCAAAATGAGATGTCATCTCACTACATAGCTATTATCAAAAAGACCAAAGATAACAAGGTTGACAAGGTTGTGGAACACTTGTGTACTATTGGTGGGAATGTAAGGGGTATAGTCATTAAAGGAAATGGTATGGAGGGTCTTCAAAAAGTTCAACAGAACCACCAGATGATCCAGCCATCCCACTTCTGAAAATATACCCAAGTGAAATGAATATCACTTATCAATATCAGTATCTCAAAGAGACATCTGCACTCTCATGTTCACTGCAGCATTATTCACAGTTGCCAAGATATGGAAGCAAACCATGGGTCTATCAATGGGTGACTGGATAAAGAAATTGTGGTATATGTATACAATGGGATATTTTTCATTTTTTAAAAAAGAAAAACAATCTTAAAAGAAGAAGAAGTTCTGCTATTTGCAACAAGGTGGGTGAGGACATTATGCTAAGTGAAATAAGCCAGACGCAGATGGACACATACTGTAAGATCTCACTTATATGTGGGATCTAAAAAAGTCAAACTCAGAGAAGCAGAGAGTAGAATGGCAGTTGCCAGGACATGGGGACTGGGGGATATGAGAACACATTAGTCAAAGAATATAAAGTTTTAGTTATTTAAGGTGAATAAGTTCTGGAGATGTAATACAGCACAGTGACTATAGTTAAGAATACCTATTGTGGTCTTGAAATTTGTTGAGAGTAGATCTTAAGCATTCCTTTTTTTTTTCTTTTTTTCAAATTTTTTTTTTTTTCAATTTTGATCTTAAGTGTTCTTACCAGAAACACATGCAAAAGGAAACCATGGGAGGTGATGGAAGTGTCAATTAGCTTGATTGTGGTAATCATTTCACAATATATACATATATCAAAACATTATTCTGTACTCCTTAAATGTATATAATTTTATCTGGGGAGAAAAGGATCTAAATAAAGGAAAGATAGTCCATATTAATGGTTTGGAAGATTTAATATTAAGATGGAAATAGGCCCCAAATTGATCTACAGATTTTTTTAGATGGAAAGACACAAGAAATCCATTAAATCATTTGAACTAATAAATGAGTTCAGCAATGTGGCAGGTTATAAAATTGATACCAAATGTCAGTTGTATTAAATACACTAGCCATGAACTAAACCACAATGAGATACCACTTACACCCACTTGGTCAGCTAAAATAAAAAAGACGGATAATTACAAGTGTTGGAAAATTGGAACACATACATTGTCGTAAGAATCTAAAATGGTGCAGCTACTTTGGAGAAGTTTGACACTTCCTTGAAGTGTTAAACATAGAGTTAGTATAAACATAGAGTTAGTATAAACCCACAGTTCAACTCCCAGGAGAACTGAAAACATGTCAACACAAAACTTGTTTGCAAATATTCATAGAAGCATTATTCATAAAAGCCAAAAGCAGAAAAAAATCCAAATTTCTATTGACAGATGAATGGATAAAAATGTGGCATATCCACACAATGGAATATTATCAGGCAATAAAATACAAAGTACTGATACATGATACAAAATATATAAACCTTGAAAATGCAGTTCTAAGTGAAAAAACCCAGTCACAGAAGATGAACTATGAATCCATTTATAGAAAATATCTAAAATAGGAAAATCCATAAAAACAGAAAGTAGATTTGAAGTCATCATGGGCTAAAGATAGGGGAAAATGGGAAGAGGGGATAACTGCTAATATGTAGAGGGTTTTACATGTTCTTAAATTAAATTATGGCTAAAATATTAATTAAAAATTTAAAAAATAATTATGATGATGGTTGTACAACTCTCTATCTTAAAAACCACTGAACTGTATACTTAAAATGAAGGAATTTTATGGTGTGTGAAATATACCCAACAAAGGTATTTTTAAATATGTCTTTCTGGGCCCTGCTTATCTTCCTGATAGTTGCTCACTTTCTCCCTCACTCCGCTTCAGCCATGTTGACTCCCTTCCCATTCTTGAACATTCCAAGGTAATTACTCAGTTTGAACCGTGGTCTTCTCTCTCCCTGCAATGCTCCTATCTTGGCTCTTTCCAGGCCTGTGTGTTAGTCCGTTCTCTGCTCCACTGCTATCTCTTTAAGATAACTTTCCACAGTTACCATTCTTCCTTCACAGGACCCATCAGTTTTAGAAATACCTTTTTCTTTACCTCTGCTTTCTCACCTTCTTATCTTAACATTCCTACTACTCAAGTGCAAGTGATTTAATCGTCAGTGATTTAATCCCCACAGCCTAGAAAGTGCTCAAGGCATAATGATCTCATAACATGCATTTTTGGATAAGAGAAGGAACAAAAGAATTAAAATGGGGTGAAGCCAAATGGACTGTGCTATTAATCAATAATAAGCATATGTTATATTTTGTGTTATCATTTATTGCCATCTCTTTTAGAATAACAACATCTTGGAGATGCATGAAGACACCTTCTGCAATGTTAAAAATTTAACTTATATTCGTAAGGCACTGGAGGATATTCGACTGGATGGAAACCCTATCAATCTCAGCAAAACTCCTCAAGCCTACCTGTGCCTACCTCGTTTGCCTATTGGAAGTCTTGTCTAATTTCAGATCATGGTTAGCATTATGACACTCACTATAATGGAACAATTCTTACCGCTCTCTTCAAAAACAGAAACTCAGCGCGATACTTTCAAATTGTGTTCTAAAACATGGTGTACAACTGAAAGTTTTAAGATATCATGACATTTAGCATGTTAAGCAAACTCCAGGTGAGTCAGGAATAAAACCAAATGATGTACAGTAAGAGCAAAACTAAATGACATTAGTTTTGATTTCATAGATACTCTTGTATATCCCATATAACTTGCAAGTTTTAAGGATTTATTTCCCATATAATTTCAAGTTAAGTCTATAATAAAGAAAAAAAAAACAAAATGAACACTTTAGGTGCATTGCCAAGATTTAGATGTTTTTTAAACTTTTCTATTCCTTTTTTTTTTTTCTCTTTAAAATTTTGATGTATTGAAGTTTTACCCTTCATGGTTGTAAAATCTGTACCTTTTTTTTTTTTTAACTAAAGCATGTTTCTGTTTCCAAATTTATTCATCAGAATGAAGGAGACAATAAAATAATTTGACATTTACAATGGCCTTGTGGGAAAATATCCATTATAATCACAACATGCAAATAATCATATTCGACAATATCACATATCTTCAGTTTTTGAAAAATATTAAATTACGAACTTCAAAAAAATCATTTTTTCACCTTAAAGATCTGAGAACTCATTTTAGACCTTGCTTAAATGGGAGTTTATTGCTATATCTCATAAGATGATGGTGCTGTAGAGGACCCTGGGCTTGTCTTATCAGTCTAACACAACTGGATAACAATCAAATCATCCTATTGGTATATTTCTGTACCTGTGAACAAAATAAAATTTAGAAAATGGAAAAGAGATGATGATATGATCACCACACTAGGGAAGAAGCTAAGGAAAGTTGATCTTTCTGAAATGTATGATCATAACACAGGGACATGGTTACAAACCAAAAAATGACAGAGGAATATACAGTGAAAGGTGATTTTCTTTCCTGCTGCAAACCTCAAGTTCCACTCCCAAGAAATAACTAGGCGATGGTTTCTTGTATGCATTTGTAAAAGTTTTCATGAGGAACAAAAACTTGTACATAAGCAACCCCCCCTTTTTTAAGATTTATTTATTTGAGAGAGAGAGAGAGGGAGAGAGGGAATGGGAAGTCTTCTGTTGAAGGGAAGTGCAAGGGGAGAGCACTGTGTAAGGGAGAAAAAAGGGGAAAGAATCTGGAGCAGACTCTGTACTGAGTATGCAGCCCAACCCACGCGCTCAGCAGGGCTCAACACGGGGCTCAATGCCCCCTGAGATCATGACCCTGAGATTATGATCTGAGTTAAAAATCCAAGTGTTTGACACTCACCTGACTGAGCCACCCAAGTGCCCTGAGCAATTTCCCTTTTTTATACAAAAATACATGTGCAGCTCTACACACACACACCACCATTATGTACGCATCTAACATGTAAACATGGATTTTTAAATACCAGAGGTAATCACTATTCTAAATTTTGCTTCTTTCACTTAAAAATATTTTCTTGACAATTTTTCCATATCAGCACGTATAGCACTACTGATTCTGAAAAGCACATATCAGTCCACTACCTTAAGGAGTTAATTTCATCTCACTTTTTGAAAGGCTGGAGACTTAATACCTTGTAGTTAGCTTCTATGACCAACAGATGGCGCTTACCTTTTTGGTTTGAAATGACTGCTTGGATCTCTTCAGGGTTGCAAAAGGCAAGTTTTTGAGAGTGTATAAAATGCGTTACATTTATTTTTTCTCATATCCCATAGAACTTAATAGGTGACAAAGATAGATCTAAAAAATATTTGTTGAGTTTTATTTATCTGACCAAATTTCTCAGGCATATCCAAATTCTCTCTAAAAAATTTTAATTTATAAGTTTAATTAGTGGAGGTTTGCTTTCCAAAAGCCAATTGAAAAATGCTAAAATCTAATAAATATACCCAATTACACTGTACCAGAATAAAGGGTAGTTAATATTGGCAACCTGGAATAATTTAAATATGCCATTTGTGATAAATATAAAAATGAAATACCTATCTTCTCATAGTTTGTTTTGTATATGGGGGGCTCTCACTGACTGGATTTTGAATGAGTTACTACTGCCATCAAGTGTTAGCATTCATCCTTTTCAATTCACAAAAATGCACAAAAAATAACACCAAGATAGCAGTGTGTTTTCAATGTAACAGTATAATGTCCTGCATAACATAAAGCATAGCATAACTTACGCTGTCATACAGCATTTAATGGAATTTCAGAATGCTGCATGCTATTCAAGTCTGTCAAATAAAGTCATACTAGTTGATATGAAGGACGTATTTTACTCAATTTACTTGATCTGTGTGGTGAACCCTCTAAGGTAATCCCCTAGTGAACCTTCCACTTCTTGCTATTCATGTCTTTGTGTAACCTTCTCCCCTTGAATGCTGGTAAGACCTTGGGTCTTGCTTCTAACCAACAGAATATGACAAAGATGGCAGATGTCATTAATGACAATGTCAAGCCCATACTATGATACATATGCATGTGTGTGTGTGTGTGTGTGTGTGTGTATTCGTTGTGCTAGGAAGCACTCGGGAGATCTGCTTTGCTGACTTGAATGAGCAGCCCCACTGAGAAAGCCCATGGCAAGGAAGTGAGAATAATCTCTAGGAATGGCTGTTAACCTCCAGGACCTGTGGGTAGCCTCCAACCTGAAGGCATCCTCCAGCCAACAGAAAGCTAAAAGGGAGGGCCCTCACTTACACAGCCACATGGAAATAAATTCTGCCGTAACATTTTCCCAAATGGAGCACCCCGCATGAGAACCCAAGCCAGCCAGGTGCCTTGACTGTAGTCTGGTGAGATCCTGAGCAGAGGACCCAACTAAGCTCCCAACTAAGCTTTTCCTGGGCCCCCCAACACCTGAAAATTCAAGATAACAAATGTATGTTATTTTAAGTAAGTTTGTGAGAATTTGTTTCACAGCAGTAGAAAACTAATACTACATATTAAAACACTTTATTTTGTAGTATTTAAGGAATATGAGCCAATTAAAAGAGGTCTTTAAAAATTCCTAAATTGCATTTCTTAAAGTCACGTTTAACATCCTCTCGTGGTAAATTTCTTGGGTGATTTGCCAGTACATGAACAATTTGAATTACAATGCCAATCTACTGAAAAAAACTACAAATCATAAACCATAATTTTCTGTTTCTCTTAAGAGTAAGGAAGGAGCAAGAATACCATGCTAACGTTCTTTAATAAGAAGAATTAATATGAAATGCATGTCACCATGGAAGAAACTGTACAAGAACAATGCTTTTATTTTCTGTGAGTTAATCTCTTTTAAACAAAGAAGAAATTGATGAGAAATCCACTACAGCAACATGGTCAATTTCTAAAGTTCCCGATTAAAACCCAATAGGTATACCACATAGGTCCCCATAAAAATAAATCTGGAGTATCAACATTCCAATATGAATTAAGCAGAGTAAGGGCAGAGTAACAGCCAGATGTGTGGTTCTATATCCAGAAAGGGACACTGGGGGCTCAAAGTGTCAGCATTCAGCACTTGAAGTCAAGCAGGCCATTCTCCAGCAAACCACAGAGCAAACCAAGTTGAATGAAGCCTGTGGAGTCTAGAGGTCCCACGGCAGTGGTTGGAGTCCTGATCCAAGATCCCCCACCCTGTTCTCCATTTTCAACCAGGAAGGCATAAATGACCTTTGCAGGCTTCAGGGGCTTTCCCACATTTACTTCTCCATCATTTACTGGAGGCTTGCATGGACTCAGATTCCCACTGGGCAATGTTCCATTTTCCATAATTCCACTCACCACAGGAAAGCAATAAAAAGATATACTCTGGGGTGGTTTTCTCTAAGATCGAGCATGGTAGCTAGTCCTTGATGTTTCTAATAAATGGGACAAGAAAAGGGCACAAGGGCAGGGATGCCGATTTTGGCATTCATGCACAGGGTTGGTTATCTTTACATACACCCTATCAACTTCTTTTAAAGTCCTAAAGTATTTAAGTATGACAATGATGATAGCCAACAGCGACTGCACGCTCCTGGGGTACTCGCATTGGCTGCGTTAAGGAAGTACCTTAACCTTTAACACAGCTCCGTGGAATAGGCATTATAACTCTACGCTCCATATGGGTTAGGAGCCTGAGGTTCACAGAGGTTCGTCATTGCTGAATCGAAGTTGAAGCACATTTTCTTTAATAGATTTCATTTTTTAAGCAGTTTTAAGTTCATGTTAAAATGCAGTAGGTTTCCCATATACTTTCCCATATAAAGAGATTTCCTATATACTCCCTCTCCCCACTCATGCAGAGCTTACCCCATGACCAACATCCCTCATCAGAATGGTAGGTGCCTTTCAGCTGAGGAACCTACACTGACACATGATCATCACCCAAAGTCTATAGATCACATTAAGGTTCAGTCTTGATATTGTACGTTCTCTGGATTTGGATGAATGCCTAACGACCATGATATATATATATATATATATATATATATATATATATATATATCTCCACCGTTACAGTATCCCTCAGAGTAGGTTCGTGTTAATTTAAATTAAAACCCATATTCTTAACTATAATGTTATAAAGACTCCCAATGTTTGTGTTGTCTGGTAGACAAAGAGACTTACCAAAAGACGTAACTGGCATATTTGTATTCTCAAGAGTAAACCACTGTATACATCCTATACATAAGGGTGGACAGCCTCATGCTGTATGACAATTAGCAAAGCATTTCCCCGAAGGATTTCGTGTACTCCTCGAAAGAGTCCTTCTTAAGGTGGATGGGCAGTAGAGTGCAGCCATGTAGTTAAGACTTTGGTTTGGGGGCCAACCTGACTTAGATTTAAATACTAGCCCCAAAGCTCCTTATGCCCACGAGCTTGAGTAAGTTAACCTCTCAATTTCCTGATCTGTGAGGCGCCGTAACAATACCCACCTCACAGAGCATACAGGTGTGAGGACTACATGCGGTGAGCTCATGCTTGCTGCAAGCACACGCAATAAATGGTGGTGGTCGTGTCTCACGTGTGATGCACTAGAACGCCCAAGAGTCAGAAGAGTGTGCACAGGCTCTAAGGTAAGGAGTGGGGTCCCGTTTTCTGACTCTAGGAACTTTCCCTCTATCTTCTCGACTTCCAAAGGTGTAAGAGATGAGTTTTCCGATATACAAGATTTCCCCCTTCCAAGGGGTTCAGCTCAAGGTCCATCTTTATCCCCGCACCTCCGGGAGGTACAAAAGTTCCAAATTAACTGCCCCAAACGTTGTCTGAGTTGGGAAGCACAACCCCAGCCTAGGGCCCTCTTTCCCGCTTTCAAAACCTGCGTCACAAGCCCCCTGCGAACATTCACCGGGCACCTCGTTCCACCCGGAACCCCCTCCTCGCACAGCGAGAACGACCTCGACCCCAATTGGCTATCGCCCTGGGCAACGGAGGACGCGGTGGGCACGCGGGGGCCTCCGGCCGGTATTTAAAGGCCGGAGCCACCCGCGCCGGCTCAGTCCCGCCAGGACAGCGACGGTGTAGCACCTGGGTTGGGAGGGAGCAGCAAGGTAACGCGCAACCCCTGCCTCCCCGGTTCCCAGCCCGCGCCTCAGCCGAGGCGGGTGTGTGTGGGACCCGGGAGCGGGTCTCACCGTGCGTCACCCACCAACACCTTCCTCCCCCACCATCCTTACCCAGCCCCCGTCCCGCCTAACCCACCTGGGCGAGACAACTTGGGTGCGAAAGACAAGAGATTACGAAGGAAGAGCGATCCAGCAAGCAGAGAAGAGGGAGAAGGGGGTCCTCTTGGAGAGAAAGGTGCCCTCCCGGTAGCAGGCACGTGGTGCTGCCCAGACGGACGAGGCTTTGCAGACCTTCAGATCAGGCCAACCGACGACGGCTTCTAGGACGCTTCTGTTTAGACCTCTGGGAGCTCCTTGGACGATGACCCAGACCCTCGACAACAGGGAGGACCCTCTCAACCTGGGCGGCGGCTGGGCGTCCTCCGCCCCCTTGCGTACCTGGTCTACCTGCCACCGAAGGCGCAGGGGCGCTCCCATAAACAAGCGGCGCCACCGCTATGGTCCCAAGTCGGAGTATGAGCCCCCCAGGAAACAGCCAAAGCAACAGCACTGTCCGGGCCCTTGGTTCCAACCACCCCGACGGCCCTACTGGGCCGTGTACTCCAACTGGGGGCGCTGGGGTGAGCCCTGGCGCCCACCACCGGCCGGATTCTGGAAGCCTCCCGGCCAAGTGCAAGTGATCCGGGTGTTTGGTGTGCACCCGCTCTGCCTCTGCTGCTGCTCCTGCTGGCGCGGGCCCTGGAACCCCGGCTGGGCGAGGCCCCCCGGCAGGAAGAAGCGCTGGGGCCGCAGGGGCCGCGGCCTGCGCCGCCACCCTCGCCGCTCCTTCCCGAGGAGCCCGCCCGTGGATCTGAGCACGCTGCTGAGGCCGGTCAACCTGTACGGGTGGCGGGCACCGGGCATGCGGGCGCCGCGCAACACCACCCAGTTCATCATGAACCAGATCTACGAGGACATGCGGCAGCAGGAGAAGCTGGAGCGCCAGCAGGAGGCGCTGCGGGCGCAGCAGGCGCAGGCGCGCGGCGCGGCCTCCCCCGGGGGCTCCTCCGGGAACGACGCGCCCCCCAGCGGCGGCGAGGAAGAGACGGAGCCCGGGGAGACCTTGTACCCCTTTGCGCAGAATCCCTCTCTGGGCTTCAGTCCCGACCCCGACGAGGAGCACGGGTTTCCCACCGCACAGTCTGGGGAGGAGGAGGACGACGACGACGAGAGAAGGGAGGAGGAGCAGTGTGACGAGGAGGAGTGTGACGAGGAGTGTGACGGGAGGGAGGAGGAGAGCGAGGAGAGCGAGGAGGAGGAGGCCGAGGCCGGAGATGAAGAGGAGGTCGAAGATGCTGACTGCGCGGAGGAGGGGGAGGAGGACGAAGAGGAGGAAGAGGAAGAAGAGGAAGAGGAGGATATAGAAGAGGAAGAGGAGGGGGTGGAGGAAGAGGAGCCGGGAGAGGAAGAGAATCCTTTACCTCTAGAAATGCCTTTATCATTCCTAGTGGGGGCTGAGGAAGAGAGAGAGAACTTTATAAACTGTACTTATTTAAGCCCCAAGCAGATGATTCCCAAAGTGCCCCAGGAAGCTCTCCTCATGGTAGACGACATTAACTGTTAGACCTCAGGAAAGGGATTGAGAATGGGATGGAACTGATTTAAGGCTAAAATGGATTAGCAACCTATTAAAAACTAATTAAAAAGTGAGTTCCACTAAAAAACATACCTATGTAAACCCCTTCTTTGGCCATTATAAAATGTTGAAAAATTGGTGTGTTTCTTTATGATGACGGGTGGGGGAGGGGGAGCTTGCAAATGCAATTTAATTGGACATGATTAAAGGCCAAATATTTTATTACTGCAGTTTGAATAGTTTCATTTGGTGTTTTCCCCCTCTAGACACCTGAGACTTTTTTTTTTTTTTAATTCTGGCAATGCTGATTTTTTTTTCTTTTTCTTTTTTCTTTTCTTTTCTTTCTTTTTTTTTTTTTTACAAATTTATTCAACTGTCTACTTAATGAGCTTGGAATCCACAGATAGGTTGGCTGTTTACATGCTTAAGAAGTACATGCCATGGCTACTGAATGTCAGTGTTCTTCACATAAGAGTGAAACCACTGAGAAGTATTTTTCCTTGTAGATTCTCCACCTTCAGAGTTCATTTTTGCGGGTTGTATTTTGATAACCCCATTTGCAGTCTCTTGTGGCATCGCTCACTTATATTCCTTGTTCCACAGTGCTATGGATCTTCCTCAGAAGAGCATGAAGTTGCTTCTGTGGAACTGGTTATCTGCCATGGCCTCAACAATCCATAAATCCATGAATGGAGAGGATTCCCCATGGTCAGAAGTCAACTTGTACATCTAGTTAAAATCCAAGGTAACTGCAAACAATGGAACATAACTTAGATTTCAAAGCCTTGTTCCTGGATCTATTCCTTGTCATAAGTTCACAGGAACCATAAAAATAGTTTTTGCACAGTGGATTTTTTTTTTTTTTAAGGATTCCTGGCCTTTTGGGGGTGGAATATCTTCTTTCCCAGTTTGCCTTCCTTCATAAAGGAGAGTAAAACAAAGATGTGTAAGTGCAAGCCTGTGTGAGCTTGTTTCTAATGTCTAAACAATTATCTATGAACACATTATTCGAAGTAATAGCTTTTATTCAGACATTTTTAGGAAGTAATACTACATTTCCTCCTGGGCCTTTAATTCTCATAACTTAATAAAAAGTTCCATCCATAGCATATTTCCAGAATATCTCTAGATGAAGAATTTGAAACTGCTTTCTCAGAAATTACCTTTTTTGACCAACTGTACTTCTAAGTATAGTTTGAACCACATTTTAGTAGTATTTATTTGGTGGAGACCGTATGGTGGTATCTTACCAGGATGTTGCCTTTTAGTCTTATATCCCAGGGTACTGCAGCTTTGGGGGGAATCAGCTTAAGCTCTTGGAAAATAAAAAGAAATAAAAAAAGTGTTAAATGAAAGTACTCTGTTTTTCACTTCTTATTATTTAAACACCAGAAATCTCTTCAGCAATACTTCCGTGGTCAACAGGATGGACAGAAACAAGAACTAACACATTGTAGGAATTTTAAAATGGTGCTGTACACTCCAAACTACAGCAGTGGGTAACCAAATATTTAATAATACTCTAAAAGATCATGACTTTCTACGAGAGGCAATTTAAGTGACCTGTACAGTTGGTTTCCATAGTACTCTCACTATTCTAGTGTATATATGTAGGGGGGAGCCAAGAGGCCCGCTCTTGGGACTGGTCCACAAATCCCAGCAAATCATAGCTCATAAATACTTTATCCAAGACATTCAAATATTCACTAAGTTGTAAGTGTGTTCTCATTAAGGATTTAGGCTTTCATTTAGGATTTAATTTCTTCCTAATCACATCAGACAATTCTTAGTTTATTACGAAAGATTCTACTTTTGCCTTCAAAAGATTTAACACATTAATTGCTTCCACAGGCACAAGGCATTCTTCGTTAGCCCTTGTAAAGGATATAAACCTGAGCAGTGCCTCAGCAATTTCCTCTACTTCCCGAACCCCATTCTTCCACAAATAGTTACTGCACTACTAGGGGTCAAACAATGTGAATTGTGATAAGGATACAGTGGTGAAAAAACAAAATTCCTACTCTCACGTTACTTATAGTTTAGTAGAAAAGACACGTTAAATGAGGTAGACAAATTAGTCAGTGCAAGCAATGCCAAGGAAATGCATCACTATGAAAGCATAAATCACAAAGAAACCCAAGAGTAAAGCTGGGGATATTAACTGTGGGCGGAGGGAACCGTGCACGAATCTGAAGGCCGAGAGCTGGGAGGAGCTTGGTGTCTTTAAGGAACTGAGGAGGGAACTACCAGTGTCCCAGAGGAGCAGCCGATGAAAGTGACGCAGGTAGACCAAAGCTCTATTATCTGTTCATTTCTGTGCTACCTCTATCTTCTGAAAGACACCGGCAAAACTTAATGAAGGAAGAAAATGATTAATCCCTGATAATTCTGTCTGAACTCTTTGTTTTATTAGCCAGATATTGTGATGGTCCCTTCAATATGAAATAAATAATGTTGGGGTGGGGGAGGATAGTCGTCCCAGTACACCCATCAGCACTTTCAGACACCTCCCCACCCACGACCGTCTAATGACAGGGTCCTAGGGATTGTTGCTTAGTACACTTGGAGCATCCCATGGAGAATCTCTGCACAGAACGCTCAGTCCAAGTGGATCATTCAGGAGTATTGGTATGAACTCAGAATAAACCCAGTCTTTAGTTTGAGCCATAAGTGTACACTTGAAGAAAACACGATTTTTCAAAGTAAGCTCATTATTTTTTTAATTTTTAAAAAAGATTTTAGTTATTTAAGAGAGACAGAGATAGTGAAAGAGAGCATGGATGGGGAGGAGAAAGAGAAGTAAACTCCCACCAAGCAGAAAGCCCTATGCAGGGCTCGATCCCAGGACCCTGAGATCATGACCTGAGCTGAAGGCCGAGGCTTAACCCACTGAGCCACCCAGGCACCCCATAAGCCTATTATTCTTAAAGTCAGTTCAAGCTTGATGAGTGAACACAGTGTGATAAAGAGGGGCCATGTAGCCATTTCTGTCAAGAAAGGAGGTATTCTTTCCTTTGTCAATGAGGAGAAAAATAACATTATAAATCACAAATATGTTTGGAAAGCCCAGGCTTGGTAAGTTTCACTGTCTATCCTCGAGTGTTTTTAAATATAGAGACTTTGGTAATTTTCCTTTCCTGGTGACTGACAACATTTCTTGATTTATCTTCATTGTCTCCACAGTAACTCAAAAGGATTTTTTTTCTGTGAAAATATTCGTCTTCTAAGGATAGTTTACCATTTGACATTTAGAGATCAACTCTGAATTCTGAGTATGGTTTCATAAAACTTTTAATATCTGCATATGATAAAAAGGAATTCCCACATATTTAGTTCCATTAAAATAGACACAAGAGGTGAAATAACCAGTTTCCTGCCACACCAAACCTGGAAGGTCTGGGAAGAAAATGGTACAGTTACCTCACAGGTGGTCTCAGGGACTGGGAGTAAATAAGACTAAGTTTTGATTTTAGCAGCATAATAAAATTATATATACAGCTTTGCTGTTTGTATTAGATAGGTTTTTATTAATGTAATAACCATAGAAAATTACCCTTAATGCTTTCAAATTCCTTCGGCCTTGGTTATCTGTGTATTTAAAGCAAAATCAGGATGTGGCTGCATCTTACCTGTTTCAGTACTATCATTTTGCGTGTATTTGCTTTTTATTTGTTTTTGCATCTATTTACTTTTAATCAGTTAATAGAACATAGCCAAACATCAAGATCGGCTGACAGAAGAGAAGAATTTGGGCATCTTTGTGTGGTCATAGCTGCAAAAGAGACTCATGGCAGTCATCACTTGCCTTGGGTTTCTTTCCTCAAAAATACTTGTCATACTCCATTACCACTCAGACCTACCTTGAAGACTAAATAACCCAATATTTAAGAAGTGCAGTATAGAGACTGGGGGCTCAGTGGGTTAAGTATCTGCCTTTGACTCAGGTCATGATCCCAGCGTCCTGGGATGGAGTCCCACATCAGTCTCCTTTTTCAGCGGGGAGTCTACTTCTCCTCCTGCTTGCTGCTCCCTCTGCTTGTGCTCTGTCTCTCTCTCTGACAAATAAAATCTTAAAAAATAAATAAATAAGTGCAGTATAGACTGTCTATCACTGTTAATCATTATATGCTAAAGCACACCTTATAATCAAAATCATGTCAATTTCTGAACGTTAGATCAGCTCAGGTTCATTAACGAGGCTCAGGAAATGTCATCTCATGGCAATTCTGTTGGACTGAGATATCTAGATATTTTAGTTGTGAGCACTAAACTAAGGCTGAACCAACTTGCCCTAGACATTCGGCTTGGGTTCCTGCTAAAGCAGTGTGTAGATGTAGTGGTCTGGTGCCTGGATATTGAAAGTGTAGTCCACCAACCACAGGGTATTGGAATCACCCGAGATCTTGTTAGAGCTAACCTCCACCAACCAGCCTCCACCCACACCTACTGAGTTGGAATCTACTCCATAGCAAGACCTTTAAGTCCTATGCATGCTCATGAGGGACCTAGAAGTTCTGCAGTGGAGGGGTTTGTGCCATCGCAGAGCCCTCGTGGGAAGCCAATGATCAAGATCGCAGTCGGGGGCTCCAAAACTTCTATCATTTCCTACTTGTGTGACCTTAGGCATGTTCCTGAAATTCTGGCTTCTTGTTTTCTTCCCCTGTAGTATCCTTTCCCTACCTCATGAGATTAAATGAGATTTTGAAGAGGACGTGGATCAATACTCAAACACTCAGGACAGCGATACTCAATAACTACTGGTATCAGAATAAACGTTCAGGTTCAGATGAGACCACTGACATATTATGGGTTGTCTAGAAGTCACTTGTTAAGTAATTGGAGCAACTATAAATGTAAAGTCTCACAAGATAAATACTGAAGTCACACATTAACTGTCTCATTTCCCCCCGTGGATAACTAATCAGATACATTTCTTTGAGCTGCACTTACCATTGGGCGGGGCTATGAAAATCAGTTAAATCTCCACAGCTGGAACTTCTGTTCTTTATCATCTCCCCCCTAATGCCAGCTCAGTGATGTCTCTTTCTTTCTTATGGCTGACATTAATACTTTAATAGCTAGTACCAAGAATTATCCACTCAAGTCAAGCTCATTATTTTTCATACAGCCAATGCGTCTTTTCAACATGTGTTTTGATGTAATGCTTAAAAAAGAAGATTCTATCTTACGCTAAGCCTAAAGATAGTGGAGAGTCCAATAAATATTAAATACCTGCATGGAACACGTCAGCTATTCAGAACAGAAATCTTAATACTTCAAAAACCATGTAAGCATATGCAAGATTCTTAACATGCATTATCGCATTTAAGCATATAGCCACACTGGGAACTAATGCTTAATTTCCCTAATACAGACAAAGGACCTGAAATTCAAAGAAGTAGTTGTTTCAGGACCCAAGTCCTCTGTTCTGAATTTAAAGTTATGGACCCATTTTATTATTGGAACATCTCTCCCCGTTATCTTATTTAAGACGGCCTGTGTGGGAACAAAATTTCCTTTTATAAGCTTGACCTGAGTTCGAAGGATAGGAGAAAGTATTAGAGTCTCTTCAGTGCAGGGTTGGTAATAATGGTACCTACCTAAGGAAGAGATACCGATACTGATACCCTGTCTCAATTATAATTCTTAGTGGTACTTTAATAGTTTATATAAGTCATATGATGACAATCTTAGAAACTGTTAATAATTTTATATATGTGTCAATATACACATAGTTGATGAGAAACAAAACACCTGATTGGGATAATTTATAGTTTTAGATGTTGTGCTGCTTCTCACCTATAATTAAATTACAATCAAAATTTTATGTTAGGAAAA